AGCATTGCATCCATTGAGCATAGCATTTTTCTTCCTTGTTACCCTACAATTTTGTATTTAATGAAGAATATTAATGCATATTTAAATTAGGATAAAACCACAAAGTTGATAAAGCCCAGCGTGGACAGACTGAAGCATTAGAGAAGAGTCCAGGAGACTAAACATAAAAGATCAAGGCATGAATAGGACTAAAAATTATTTAAAACTATGTCTGGACTACCAAAATATCAACTCTCATGTTAGATCACTTTTCAGATATTTGGAAGCCGTACAAAATTTCCTCTGTTAGTTGATTACTCCCTTAACTGTCCACTACAGAGTTTCTTTCATTTCCTCTCCCAAACATCTGGCAGTAGATGCTGCAGAAGCCCACAGTCAGCAGGATACGCAAGCAGGGGCCTAACTTTAGTTCATGAGTCATCTCCGTGGCTCCAGTGGGACAGTTCAGGTGGTTAAAGTTAAGCATGTACTTAAGCACTTTGCAGAAATGAAATGGGTCTGTGCCAGAGGGAGGTTGCTGCCTAGGTAGGAACTGGTCGTTCACTTGTCCTTAACCATTTATAAAAGGGATTTGTATAAAATACAGTTTAAAGACACCCCTCTGCTGTGAGAGCAATGATTTGTGATTTTTAAAAGTGGACCCCCATCAGCCTTTGGTCTCTCTCAGCCCCCCTGTTTTATCAAGCCATTAGTTGGGAATACTTTGATCAGGTTCAGCAGAGCAGGGAGTGATTTCTCACCCTCACCTTCCCCAGCTCAGTGAGCCTGCAGGGCACAGAGACAATCCCTGCTCCAGGGTACCTGCTCTGTTACAAATGTTCTGCTTGCCTGGTAGCCACAGTCCAGCTGCTGACCTAGAGCTGGGTTTGCAGGCAAAACTTTCCGTCTGTGGAGTCACCATCTGCAACCAGCCCTTCCCACTGCAGAGACATGGAACCAGAGCACTTCCTCTCCTTCACCCAAATATTCATGGAGCTTTAAAAAATCCTTATTCTTTAAAATTCCATTTGGAGCTTTCTTATCCAGGCCATGGAGAGCACATTCTCTGGAGCTTTGATCACCATGAAGCCTGCAAATAATTCTGCTCGGGCTGTGCTCCTGTCTCCACCACACCCCAAGTGTTTGCCTTCCCCTGGCTCCAGGGCCACAAACCCAAGCACAGGTGACCAGGTGGTGGTGGGTCAGGTGAGCTGCAGGCTTCATGGCAGTAGAGCTCTTGCAGAATGCAAGACTTGTACTGTTGTACCTATACAGGAGCTGTATGATGTGTCCGAATAATCCCTTTAATAAAATCAGATAGTGATTTGTAGCTGAAAGAATGGTTTCCAAACTCTTTGAGAGTATCTGTGTCACCAGTAATTCCTTTGTTTCTGAACATAAAAAATGAAAATCAACTTTTGCCAAATAGAGAGCAGTTTTTCCTAAGCCCTAATATCTGCGAAGTATTTCTCCTTGCACATTTTTCCCAGCCTGTCAGAATCGTAAGACTGAATATTATAAAGCCAGCAGCTTTGCTAGAAAATGCCAGGCAGCCACACATTTTTCAGAAGAACAGAGTCTACTTTATGTTGGGTAGCATTGTTTGAAATTGAGTTTTCAAAGTGCACAATTTTTCATTTCCAAGTCAAGGCTAATGGAAAAATTTCACTTCCAAAGGTGAGATATGGAGCAACTGAAAAGAGAGATTTAGGAAAGAACTGCCATCTCAGCAATCATTTTTAACATTAGGATCATTTGACATTTTAAAACTGGTGGCAGTGATTCACTTATCAGAAGGACTTAACTAGGATTTGTTTATATGTCTTTCAAATACTAAGTGTAAATCATCAGCCTTCCGTGTCTCTGTTTTCTCCTCTACAGGGTTCCTCTTAGCTCCCAGAGTTTCTCTCAGCCATTGAATCATCATGTGAAATGGACTTTAATAATTACTTCCCTTCCTTCAGTAGTTTTAGGCTGTGCCTGTGGAGCATGGAGCATCTTCCTAGGATGGAGGAACTGAGCTCATGCCACATCTCTATTAGGAGACTCTAGAACTCTAATAGGACTCTCTATTCCTACTTGTCTCAGCCTCAGAGGCTAAGATCATTCACATGAAAGGCAGATTCTTGCAAATTAATTAAGAAAATGAGCATGAGGGTGAATAACAGCATTGCAGTAAACTATAGAGTAAAGTTTTGGGTTGACATGTTTAAGAAAAGTCAACTCAGGGGAGTTTTGTTCATACATTGCATGGGCAGGTTGCTTTGGCCAGATCCCAGGGAATGGATGCAGGGCAGCATTGTCACACACTAATGCCCTCCTGCTGCTAGGCAAATATCATGGCCTTTATTTAAATACACATGCATAATAAATCTTTGGCAAACAACCCATGTAAACTACCAGCAGTTTCCTTGGAATTAAGAATACTCAAGTGTTTCTTCTTTGCAAGAAACTTTTGGTGCAATGCCTCTGTTCTACCTGAAAAGCTTTTTCTGGTCCTGCCACATAGTTAATTTCCACCTTCCAGTGAAATTCCTGCTAGAAAAAAACTGAGTGGCAGCCTGCTGTCCTGGGCCAGGGTACTGTCTGATATAATATCAAGGCAGTCAGAGGAAAAAATGTGGGAGAGGAGCAGCATTGAAGGAGCACATGTGGATGACCTACCATGGCAAAGGAGAAGAGTGGTGGAGTCAAGAAACAATGCCATTTGCTCCACAGGATCATCATCTGCACCATTTAAATACACATGTAATTCTTGCAGACATGTTTCCTGCTTGTTTTGACTAGAGGAAATAAGGCAGCAGGGAATATAAAAGTGTCAGGCAAAAGGATTTGTGTCAAATTACAGCTTGTGCAGATCTCCCAGGAGCAAGACTAGGCTGCCCAAAGAAGACTACAGAGAAGAAAAGGTTAGTATAGTAGAAGAAATCCTTCTTTCTGCTTCTCATGTCTCTTTTCCCTTCCCATACCTTTCCCTAGACTCTTCTATCCTGCTTTCATTCCTTATAGTAACCTAAAAAAGTTCTGGTAGCTTGACATTAATCTTGTCACCATTACGTGTGCAACTGAGTGAAGATGACAGCCTGAGCAAGAAGGCTGAGCATTGTACACCAGTGTTTGGAATTAGCCTTGTACATCTTGGATTTTCCCTCTTGTCTCCATTTAGGTGCTTCATACTGAATTTATCTATAGCCTGGTTTCACATGCTGTTGTCAATGAGCTTTTTTTTAAGCAGTCATTTTTCTGTGATCGAACAGGCTCATAGATTTAATAAAACTTTTTTTTAAAAGCATTTTTCTTTGCATTATCCAGTGACTGTGTAATAGCAGCCAAGATGTATTCTCTTGAAATGCATACCTGAACTTGCACATCTATACAATAGGTCTGCCACTTACAGAATCACAGCAGTCTGCTGGATTACTGGTCCCTAAACATGGAGTTTATCACTCCAAACACTTGAAAATCCTTCTCGAAGGCAAAGGCTTTTATCCAGGCCAATTACTTACCTAATGCAAAAATTTTCTGAGGATCACTTTCATTTAGAGGAGAGGTGAAGAAAAGAAAACTTGCTCAAAAAATTCATTTTAAATTGCTTTGTGTGAAAGGAATGCAAGTGGTCATATTAACGTGCTTGCTAGCTCTGTCTGGAACAGGAAAGGAATATAAACAAATTATTTCATACAGTGTAGTTCTCTCTGTCTGAGAGGAAGTGAAACTGCAATGACACCATTTAACCCTTGCAGGATCAGGTGTTAGCAGCCTGGTTTAAATGACAGCATTGTGTTTTGCACGTTTTCTCATCCCAAGAAGAAGCAGAGGCAAAGGGATATGCATTCTTCTTAAAGAGAAAGGACCTGTCAGTATATGCATGCCTCCTTTCAAAGATGTTACAGGAAGGCATGGTTTTTAGAAAATCAAGTAAATGTTGTTATTCAATGGCCAGTTGTGACCCCTCATTTAAATAAAACAGCAAATGAAACCAAACTTTAAGGAGGGAGAAGAACTTGTTGTTAAACATCTATTTTACACTTCCATCAGCATCTCAGATATATTAAGAATAAATGTAATTTGAATAGATGCATATTATTTAGTAAGATAATGCAAGGGAAGTTTAGCAATCTGTGATGAAGTGTGACTCGCTGAGCAGCATTTATTCCCATTAATATGCTGAAGAGCCCATCACCAGCAGCCCCAGAATGAGTGAGTCAAAATCAGAAGTGAAAACCTTTTGCTGAAAGAAATAAAATGCACAGACATCAAGGTCAAGCACACAGGTACCACTTCTGCTGCTCAAAAGCCCAACCTGTGCACTCGGTTGCTAAAACATCCCTGCTGCAGGGAAAGGGACCAACTTTTGTTCCTCATTGCTACAGAGAGATGCAGCCCCTGGAGGGAAGGAGTGCTGCCAGTGCTGCCAGTCTGTGTCTGCACAAGGGGTTTCTTCTGGCAGCAGAGGGGCAGCTCTGCCTCTCTTCACCCCCAGGAGAAGGAGGTGTCTTGGCAGTTCCTCACAGCTGGCAAAACTCTGTCCCAGCGTCCTGGGCATCCACACTGAACAGTCCAGTCTATTTCTGAGCAATTATTGCTTTGAGGGTTTACACAACCTTAAAGGTAGATTGATGTTCAGGAAAAAATTCTAGTAGCACCTGCTTTTGGCTTTAGAGTGGGCCAAATAACATTTTGTTAAACAAAAGAACACATCTGAAGATGCTAAGGGCAAGACAAACCAAAACAGACATCATTACAGGTGTCGCGGCTTAGTTGCAAAGGGGCAGCTCTGTGGTCAGCATCACACTGCATAGAAATATCTACCCCAGTCCAGAATAAAGCTGAATTTGTGGCAGTTTTGTTCTTCTTTCAAAAGCTTTTTTGGTTTTCAGAGAATGGAATGCAGTTCCTTCTTTCATCACTACTTTTCCCTCAGAGTCTGATGCAATTTTTAGTTATTGCTTTGTGAGGGGAATTGCTTATGATTCTGCAAACATGGAGAAATATGTTACTCACATTTCCTCATCCTTCAGGTCCTGGGAGAGAAACGGTGGGATTCTTCTGGCCAAGTGTGCACTCCTGCAACCCTCCAAAGGATTTCTGCAGTGTCTCATGGAAAAAAGCAGGCCCTCATAGGGTAGGGTACAACCCTCTCATTAAAAAATAGTTGGATATATGGAGAATAAATAAATAAATAAATATGGTGAACTTAGCCTTTTTAAAATATCAGAGAAGTATTTATCACCTTTAGCTGTGTGTATCTACACCAGGATGGGATGAACTGCATCCTAAAAGGACTTGCTCCTCTTCAGTTGACTCCAAAGGGAGCCTTGCCAGCCATGCCATTGCAGCTGTCTATACTGCAGAAGTCTGAAGTCCATAGAGACCAGTTTTATCCCAAAATGTCCCTCCACATCAGCCTTTTCAGTCACAGCACTGCACAGGCATTCTGCTCACCATGTGCTTTATATTTCTGTAATTCTCATCTGACATCTCTGGCTGTGTTTGGCAAGAACCCAGCTGCTGTCTGTCCAGCACAGAGGTCTCAGCTTTCCAGGGCCACCCTTGCAGCTCACGGGGTTCACCTGGTAATTGAACACTTCCTTTAAGGCTGCAGGGAATGCCAGCCTTGGATGGGAAGGCCACTGCTCTAACAGTGTGACAATGAAGTGGGGCAATGGCAGAAGGCCATGTCACCTGTCCCACATGCTCAGAGTGCCCAGCTCTGTGCTGGTGTAACTCCAGGTGTGGTTTGACATTACAGCAAAAGCCTGTCTAACCACTTGGTGCAGCTCAAAACTCCCCCTCTGCTGTGCCCAGCACCTGTTCCCACCCTTCCTCCTCCTCCTCCTCCTCCTCCTCCTCCTCCTTGCTGGCACTGGGAGTTTTCTTGGGAGCCAGTTAAACTCACCCTTCAGAAGGAAGGATTTTCTTTCTCTCCTTTTGTCTCGCTGGTCTGTCTCACATCAGTATCTAAGGAATGCTGGTGGGGAGGGCAGGAAGACAAAGATGAGGCCACAAGGGTGGGAAGGGGCAGGGACTGCTCTGGCTGAACCTTCAGGGAGAAGTTTTCTGTCAAGGCTCAATACCTTCCAGGTGAAGCTTGCTCAGGACAACTTACCTTACCTTGGGTGATGAGAAGTAACATGTTCAACTCCAGTAACTTTACATTCACCATGAACTTGTGCTTCCCAGCTCCTAAACATGAGAGCATTTCATTTGAAATGCTGCTTGTTAATGTCTTAGATGTGCTTCCATCAAGCATGGGTAGCCTTCTTCTCTAAGGCAGAGATAACAGGAAGAGTTCAAAACCCTGAGACTTTTACCTGCTCATCTACTGCCTCTTCTGCTTCAGACAGGAGACACTGCACTGACAGGAGACAGATGTCTCAAACCTTGCCTAGGCTGTCACCTCAAAGTCCACCTGCCTCCAAAATGGCAACACAGAGCATGAGCAGTGAGCAGTGAAGTTGCTGTGATCACCAGAGCTGTTTTCAACCAAAATGGATTGTGGTTTTCTTAGTGCCCTTAACAGTAATTTACGATTAAGCCATAATCTTTTCAAGTAACTGTTGCTTTAGCACCATCTTTTAATTCTTGGCATTATAAAAGGAGATTAATTTGATTATTTTCTGTAACTTGAAATAGTCAGCAATCTGTGATCTCTTTTAATCTCCTGTTTCTTGTTTCTCCAACAATGGACCAGCCCAGCAGCTTGTGAGCAAACTACCTTCAAGAGCCAGAGCTTAGTTAAGTCAAGCCTAAAACATATCCCAGGATTCTCAGATAAGGCTTCAACAAAAGGCAAGTAGGAATAAACACCATGCTGAGTTAGAAAAGCTTTTTTTGTCATGATTATTTTCATGACCACCACAACTTCTCTTCCCTGATCCAAGGAGACCAACACAAGGCCATGGGTTGAGTCCTTTTTCTTGCTAAATGAGATGTCCCAATTTATCTTTATGTATGTGACAAAGACAGCTTGAAAGAGCTTCAACCAAAGTCATTGGCCAGCGCTTGGTTGTCTGGCAGCCCTGAGGAAAAGAGCACCTCTCCCTGCTCTGCATCCCTGCAGTGGAGAGGCCCCTGCAAGTCCCAGCTCCCTCTGGAAGATGAGATGATCTAGATCCTGCCCCTCATCCCAGGAGGTTCCTCTCAGGTCCCTCGTTGCCTGGCAGCAGCTTCTGATCACTCCTGAGCAACACATCCACATCCTTCTCTGGAGCAGTTGCCATCCTCAAATCCTCCAGGCTGTCCTGATTTTCCTATACCACTTATTAATGTTCATAATTGCAAAATAATTGGGCCTGCTGAGTTTGTAATGAAGGCACAATTTTAAATGCTGTAATCAAAAAACTTTTGATTGGATTAAGACTTGAGTGTTTTAGAGGTTTAATTACAGGCCCAGGTAAGCACAAATAAGCTTTGGGTTTACTCCTGTCTTTCAGACAGTCCACAGCAAAGTCTCGGTGCCCATTTGGTGTCACTGAATATCTGACACTACTGAGGCTGAACCCCAGCAGCCAGGAGTCCTGTGTGGCATCCCAGGCAGTGAGAGTCAGCCCCAGGCACACACAGCTCCTAGGGTGAGGCACCACTAGAATTACTTAGTCAACATGTCAAATATAAGCAAAGAATTCCTTAGGAGGAGACATCATCCTGTGAAATAAAAGGCTGAATTGAAGGGTGTGCAGCTTGACAAATGCTCTAAATCAGCACAGCCACTGAAAGGTGGTGTCCTCCTCTCCTCTTGCTCCCAGCCATTGTTCTCAGCCATCCTGCCTTCTCCTCTCTCTGACAAAATTGATTCTACATCCACATGGAAAAGTAGATACAGTTAAAAGCAACTTTTTTATTTCTTCCCTTTTATTTTGCCTGGAGGAACAGCACAAATATCTGCAATACCCTGGTGAATCAGGGAGCCCAGGGACAGGGACAAGATGCTGGTGGTGAGAGGAACCCCTTAAAAGTGATGGGAGCATCAGAACCCATATGCTTAAATGTTGGTCAAATTAAATCCTAAGGAGAAAGGTGAGAATGGCTATGTTTAAAGGGGGTTATTAAGCTTGAGTCCTATAAGGCCAAATACTTATTTCTTCACTGCACCTCTGGAAAGGGTAATATATTTCAGCAGCATTAGAAAATGTGGTCTATCAAATAGGCTTCAGACAGTCCCTGGTGACAAACTTCCTAATCTGGGGCACAGGGAGACGTCGCACTGCAAAGGAGGTCTGAGCAATAAGCAAAACACACTGGGACTCCAGTTTCACTTCTGCTCTGGCTCGTTTGCAGCCCAGTCCTTTTCTAGTTGCAGTCTTTGAACTCCTCCCAAGCACGCTCAGGGACTGGTTGGTAGGCAGGATTTGCTGCAACTGCCAGAGAGATTAATTGGAAGAGAAGTGTAGATCAACATCATCAGCTGCACGCACACAAACGTATCAATTTAACTACTCCATTTAGAAAAGATTGAGATAAATTGGTACAATCTTCTTTCTGGACAAGGTTAGAATGTAGATGCTTTCAGCTTGTCAGGTGCAAAACCAGACAAGCTACAGCACCACCAGGAAAGGGAAAATACATCTGGGGGTCTATACCAGTTATAAGAGTGTTATAACCAAATATATGAAAATAGGTAGGGGTGCCCATATTTTTTGCAAAAATTGCATCTACATACATCATACTAAGTTTAATTGTAGTTGATAGCATTTTTCTGGTAGCTATCAACTACAATTAGTTATCTAGTAGTAACAACAATGGTTGTTTTATTTTACTGTGAGGTGTTTTTTCTTCATCTCACTGGGATCTGCTTTGATGCCCTATTGAAGACCCTAAAAAGCTGTGAATTATTTTGGGATCACCAGGAGTTAACATTAAATTATAAACCTCAGTGCGAAAAGAACTTAACAAATGTAAATCTGCAGTCATTGAATTTTGACTTTTATGTAATTCCCAGTGTTTCATGGACATCCTTATTGTATGTACTCATTTTAGAGGTAAGAGGTACAAACAGAAATTTATTATTTCAAAGATGAAAAAAACCAACAAATTGGCTTTACTACGCTGAAGCATCCATGAAACTATTTAAATGCAATTTATCTTCATTATGAAGACTCAGCATTGATACATGGGTTCTCTGCTGCTGATCATACTAGAAATTATTCCAGCTCCATTTTCACATATTGATAATAATGATACTAAATTATATTTCATAATTATAACCATTATATTGTATTTGTACAGGTTTTATTTAACAGGTGAAAATTATAATCTAATCTTATTAGCAAATCATCATCTTTGGTCTACCTTTGAAGGGGGCAAATGGAATAAAAGCTAAAAGGTAGGAGATTCACCTGTCCAAAGGTAAATGTGTTGCCTTTTCAGAGAGAGGCCCTTTGGTTGCCTTTAGGCAGCACAGAGGTGGATGCCATGGGAGTGATTTCTCTTAGTCTAGAGCAGCCCAAACAATCCTACTTTGCCACTTTTTACATTCCTAAATGTACACAGGGGCATCACCCGATGTTTTATTTACTCAGTAAATTTGAGCAGACATCAGACATTAGTCTTTCCAAGAGGAGAGAAAAGCCACAGTTTTGTCAAGTGTGACTGAAAATGGAAAATTATTAGGGGGAAACAGCTGCTCTGCCTTACATCTGTAAGTGCTGCACAGGATCCATGAACACATTTAGGGGTAAGGGGAAAGCAGTGTTTGCTAAATTGATTTATTTGTGTTAGCTATGCAATATAAACATCCCCAGATTATTCCTCTTAACAGGGTGATGAGAGCTGAACCTCCCCTGTGCTCCTGAACCGAACCCACCCCCTTCATCCAGGAGCCCCTGAGGGGACATGGGGATGTTCCAAGCCCCTCTACAGCTGCTGAAGGCAAAGTTTAAATAAACTGTGCTTCCTCAGCACTAAATCCTCCTGCTCCTGAAATGCTTGCTGACAAAGTGAAGTGGGTTTTTCTTGAAGCTAATGTCCCTTTAAGGATTCATGTAAATCCTTCATGGGTTTTGCTTTCATTTTCAGAATTACTGAATTTTATGGTATTATCATACCAACTCTTCCATTTTAAATTCAGTCTGGTTTCTATCATTATGTCTATAGTCAGTAAAAGCAAGGCTTT